TATTGTTTACTTCCTCTCTGCCTTCTTCTGGTGATTTATCTGATGTCCAGGGCTCCGTCTTTTAACCTCTTTTCCTTTCTCTTTCCTGATCCTCCTTAGCAACCTTCATTATAGTCCTTGACAGTGGTCTGTACTGTATTAACAACGTGTCACATGTTAAGAATTTACAATCAGAATCAAGTATTCAATTAAGCCGTGTAATAAAAGTTGCTAGTAGCCTTAAGGGCCTACACAGTTGTTAGTTATGCTATACCACATTGCCCTTCACTGGATGTATAATGAGCTGCACTAAACTACATTTTAGCATTTAAAATACCTAGCCATTCTTTTGCGGTTATTTTGGTGAAAGTAACTCAAAGGTAATATAAAAGTAGTGTAACTCATTACATTTCAGAGACAGTAATATTGTAATGTAACTTATTACTTTAAAAAGACAGTAATAAGTAATATGTAATATATTACATTTTGGAAGTAACTTGCCCAACACTGATTGCCAGTTGTGTTAAGTAACTAAGTAAATGTACTCAAATACTTATGTGCAATTTTGATGTAGGCTACTTGTACTTTACTTGAGTATTTCCAATGTATGCTACTTTTTAATACTACTCCACTCCAATTCAGAGTGAAATATTGTACTTTTACATTTATTGTATACCTTTAGTTACTTTGCAGATTTGGATTAATGATATGAAATGTAACCATCACTTAAATAACACTTTAGTCACATCTGGAGCTGTGATAAACACATTATCTCAATCTCAATCTTTATTTATTTATTTATTTAGCACATTTTAAAACAACCTTCAGTTGTGCGTTGTTGTTCGGATCAGGGGAGCACAGGTTCAAACCCCACTGCAGTCAGCGTCGTTGTGTCCCTGGGCAAGACACTTCACCCCAAATTGCTCCTGTGGGGATTGCCCACAGTATTGAGTATGTAAGTCGCTTTGGATAAAAGCGTCTAACAAGTAACATGCAATGTAATATCATATATTTCTGAAATGGGGCAATCTGCATAATGAGTACTTTTAGCCTACTTTTGGTACTGAGTTTATTTAGATGCCAATACTTTTGTACTTTGACTTTAGTAACATATTAAATACTTGACATTTCCTTATAAAACTGTATCCCTACACTTTGGTAGTTCTACTTCTACTTAAATACAAGATAAAAAGAGGTCTGAGTACTTCTCTCACCTCTATCTGTTGGGGGTCAACCTCTACAGACAACAGCTCTCCATGGAGCCATGATGCGTGGCTAAAGCTAACCGGAGCGTCAGTGTGGTCCTGCCCCTGAGGGGGTGTGACCTAACGGGGAAGGAGAACATCGTTGCTCTGCCGCTGTCATTGTTGAGCCACTGTTATTCCACCATCAAGACGAAGAGGGATCTCAAGACATTAACCGCTACTCAAATTAATCAGGTAGGAATATAAACAAAACAAAATGTGCCATGTTTTCTTGTTTCTTGTTTACTAAAGTATGTCAAGCCGCTACAGTCAACGACCAGAGGGACTGTGGGAAGTTAGCGAAACGAACAGTCTAAACATATTTTAATTTATAAAGAACAAACGAGCTTTAAAATATTAGAAAACCAATAAATAAACGTAGATATGGCATACCAACTGTAGAGTAGTTCAAGTTCAGTTACAGGGTTATAAGGCTCCGCTATCTGGACCGGATATTAAGGCTGTATTGTTTCAAAGTGATTATGTGTTACTGTTGATTCTCATTACTTCACTTCAACTTTGACCCAGTGATTTAGTTTATAATTTCTTACGCAGGTTTCTTGTTACAATCCTATTATAACACATTCTCAATTTGCTATTCACAAAAAAGAGCAGCATCGACAGCAACAGTAGTGTAACGTCAAATGGTGGGAGGGTCATTTCAACTGCATTAGTACAAAGAGAGATTATGGATTGCTTTTTGGTGATCTGGTTAACATGCAGTGGTTTAACTGCCACAATTAAACAACAAAGGCATATAATTTATTTTCATCTCGTATACTGTATACATTCAACTCATTAGTACTCCTTTAAAATTACTGTGATGTTGAACTGAATGCCAAAAATAGTTTCCACGTATTTTTCTGTTAAACGATTTAACATTTCAGCTCACAGTTTGTTTTTCACTGGCATCTTGATCTGGCTCGATCAGATCCTTAATACAACAATATTAGTATTTTGTGTATACTACACTAGTTTACTTCTTTGCAAGTAAAACAAAACTGCATTATGTAGCCTGTAGCCAATAATATGATATAATTGCAAGTGTGTTTTGTCCTTAACCATGATTTCTACTGCAAAGAAATACATACATCTAAAGATAACTAGGCATTGTATACCTTTCAGGGATACAGTAAGAAGAGCAGACTAAACCTTTTTTAATATGTTTTCTGTAGGATGTCCCGAGAGCAGCAGGCGGTGGCTCGTGCCAGAAAAGCCTTTGAAACAGGAAGGTCCAAATCTGTAGAGCACCGCATCCGCCAGCTGAAGAACCTGCAGAGGTTATTCACTGAGAAACAGAGTGTGATTTCAGCTGCAGTCAAGAAAGATCTCAATAAGGTGAGTAGTGACAGGCACATTTTATCGTTACAAAATAATCCATACCTGGTCTCCAATCATCTTGAGAGTCGGAGTATAAGAAAAAAAACCACCATGATACCATTAGCTCTTAGTCCTTTTGCTGCTATGCACTGTTTTAATAACATGTTTTCGTGGTTCAATCTTCAAAAGAGAGAGAGAGAAAGACACAATCCTGGACTTCTTTCCATTGCTGTCCCTGTTTTTACACAGTTCACAAAGCTTAATGTTTGACATTGTTTAAACAAATTAAAAAATAATGTGAACTATTGATTGATGTTAACATTTAAGACGCGATGGTTCTCAAACAAGTTAAAGATGCAAATAATATTGAAGCATAAGGTAGAATACAAAACATATTAAAAGGATAGTTTATATTTGTTTCCCTAAGAGTTAGGCTAGTCGGAAAAAGAAAATACTGCTGGGTGTAAGGCAGCAGCAAAACTCATTTTAGACACCTAGAAAAACAATATTAGTTTAAGTTTGCGCTATGTTAAGATTAGTCTGTTTTGGTTATTGCATGACTTTAATCTGAAGTAACCCTTTAAAACTTCAAACACCCTACACTTCAAGAGAGCCAAACTATCTCTTTGAGATTTCCACAAAGCAAGCTACTAAATTGGATATCATTTTAAAACGTACTTTGATTTGCAAACAGGCTATACATTGACTACAGTGAGTGACAAAAAGACATGAGAAAATATAACATTAGCTATGAGGAACCTCAACGTTATTGTCTTCCTCCCCAGAGCGAAGCGGGGACACAGCTGTATGAGACTCTGGGTCTGGAGGGGGAGCTCAACACGGCCATCAAACATCTGAAGGAGTGGGCGGCCCCTCGGCCCGTTGAGAAGAACCTGCTGACCATCTCGGACACCGTCTACATCAAACCAGAGCCGCTGGGCGTGGTGCTCATCATCGGAGCCTGGAACTATCCCTGGGCCGTCACCATCCAGCCGCTCATAGGAGCCATCGCCGCTGGTACTGTGTGTGTGTGTGTGTGTGTGTGTGTGTGTGTGTGTGTGTGTGTGGGGGGAGGATAAGTGTAGTAATCAGATATTGTACTTAAGTAAAAGTAGAAAATCTTGTGTAAAATGTTACTCAAGTAAAAGTACAATAGTATAAGCATCAAAATATACTTGAAGTCCCAAAAGTGAAAGTACTCATCATGCAGATTGGTCTATTTCAGAATAATATATTTTATGTTTTGATTATAATTATTGATACATTCAAGTATTATCAAAGCTGGTAAAGGTGAAGCTAGTTTTAATGACTTTGTAGACTGCAGGTTAGCTTGTGAATTTACTCCATGTGTAACTAAAGGCCTATGTGTTGATTATGTTTCACATTATTAATCCAAATGTGCAAAGTAAGTAAAATATTGATAAATGTAGTCTAGGAAAACTACACTATTCACCTCTGAGTAGGTAGGGTAGAAGTACAAAGTAGCAACACATTGAAATACTCAAGTAAAGTGTCTCAACATTGTACAGTACATTTACACAAGTACAGTTCTTCAGTAAATAGACTTACACCACTGAGGATAGGTGTGGTGGGTGAAAGAGCAGTGCGTGTGTGTGCGTGTGTCTGTGTGTCTGTGTGTCAGTGTGTGACATAACAAGGTCAGCGTTTCTATCTGATTTCATTGGTCAATTCCCTGTGTGATGAACTTTGAGAAGAGATCTGTCTCATCTCAGACAACATGTGTTACATTTTGAAACAGTGAAGCAAGATTAATCCACAAAATTGCACAAGGGGTCACAATATGTAGAGGCATTTCCAAGTGTACGTAACAGTCTGTTAAACAAATTAACAAACATGCCGAAATCACCAAGACTCATTTTTGGAGGCAGTGTGCTTTTCAGTTCTCTCATGTTTTCTTCTTTTATTTGTTTCAGTCTTGTTGAGTTTCTTTGTCTTGTGATCATTACCATTTCAATTCATGGTTAATCCAGTCGTTTCCTAACATTATTGATCCTCAATCCGGTTCAAGCCTCTTTCTTCCGCAGACACAAAAGATTTAAAGGATTAACAGTAGGATCAGAATAAAATGTTTCTACACTAAGGCATATTTAACACACACTGCTGCAGAACATGTTGTTAATGGTTACTACATGTCTCAACTTTGTGCATAGTTCCTATCAGTGATGGCTCAAAGGACAAGGTTGAATCACTCTGCTCTAAAATAATCAGTGAGGCCATGAATAATGTATTTCTAATTCAGAAGCTAAACGTCCTGAGTGTCTTGACTCTCTCCTTTTTGTAATGCAAAGCTCAGTGTGGAGAGTTTGTCTGTGGTTGCTTAGCATGACACTGCAGTATTTGCTGTTGGATCTTTTGTTTGTAACGTGTCCCCAGTGATAGTTTTACATATAAGTGTTACAAGAGCTTCCGTGTGTAGACAGCTCATTTGTGTTTCATTTGAACAAAGCGTGTTTAGACACAAACATTGCTGGCTGCAGGACTTAAATGAACTGAGAGCTGTCAGCCTGCTCCCCATAGAGGACGTGTTTGCACAGCATGGACTTTATCCTTTGCTCCAGCATTATCAGATACCACTCTACAATCATATCTTTCTAGCAAGTTCCAAGTCTTCTCGACTGATTTATTGGCAAGTGCATAATACAGATAATCAGGCTAAATGTCATGGTCCATGGCAGTTGTTAACATCAGCAGCTGACACAATGATTTAGATTAAACATTTGAAAAAATAGGCTGTTTCCTTGGGATTTGGTACACACCAGAAAAAAATCAAATAGACTCGAATTATTCTGTTGCCTCTTCGCTGATGGTTATGTAAAAATAAGTTTGCATTTTGACCTCACAGCTGATGATTTTAGTGTTCACAACTTGTTCTGCTGCTTCCAAGTGGCCAAAATAACTCAAGGTACAGCAGGTTGAAATGATACTACATATACATTACAAATAAACAAGATTATGGGGAGCAATGGGGAAGCAATTGGGAATTTCTGCTGAAATAAATAATAAATTATACTTTAAGATGAAAGACTATGTTCTTCTATTTTGTGATATAGTATGCTTTTGTTACCTCTCCAGGTAATGCAGCTGTGATCAAGCCCTCCGAGGTGTGTGTTCACACTGCAAAGGTCATGGAGGACCTGCTGCCACTCTACATCGACAAAGTAAGGATGGAGCACATTACATACACATTTCAGTTATCCACCCATTCATAAAAGTGAAACCAAACACTGTTATTCTTCAAATGTAAACATATTTAGACAGAACAGAAAACTGAACAAATATGAACATTTAAAAAAGAAATAGGGAAAAAATATGATAAAAAAATATATACATACTTTGGTTTGTACGTCTTGTCCACATTACTAGCCTTTTTACTGCTGACGCCATGTGTACTAACAGGTTATCAGACAAACACTGTTTGCACACCTGCAACCATGCATAAAAAGGCTTAAAATATTTAAAGTAAAAGGTTTTGCTTGTCTTTTCAAGTGTATTATTTCTGCAAAAATATCTACACAGACAGCAACAAAGGCTAACACAGAGAGGGAGTCAAGGTGTTTTTCTGCTAAGACAAAAAAACAAAAACGTATCACAACAAGACATTTATCTTTTTGCTTTGAAAACAACATGCTGCTTCGTGACGTCTGAATGTGTGTTTTTTGTCCTGCTTGTCAGGAGCTTTACCCCGTAGTGACTGGAGGAGTTTCAGAGACCCAGGAGCTGCTGCGTCAGAGGTTTGATCACATCTTCTACACCGGAAACAGCGTGGTGGGCAAACTGATCATGGAGGCTGCTGCCAAAAACCTGACGCCTGTCACCCTGGAGCTGGGAGGAAAGAGCCCGTGCTACATCGACAAGAACTGTGACTTAACCATAGCCTGCAGGTCAGAACGATGATTCAATATGGTTATTTTTGTCATTCGTTTTATATTTAACATTGTTTTCATCCAGTCTTATACTGTAGCTGTTTCTTCCTGAGACCCTCCTCTTACCTCGTCCCCTACTCTATAGGCGTGTTGCCTGGGGAAAGTACACTAACTGTGGTCAGACCTGCATCGCACCAGACTACATCCTGTGTGAGCCCAGCATCCAGGACCGGGTCATCGAGGAGGTCAAGAAGGCCATAAAGGTACATAAGACCTTAAACACAATACGAAAACATTATAATTGTATCTTTAGTAGCTCCCTTTCTTTGGAACCAGCTTCCTGTTTTTATCAGGAAAGCAGACAGTGTCCAAACTTTGAAAAGTGTGATGAAGACTTTCCTTTAAAAAAAAGAAAAAACCACATATGGTGAAAGCTGTTTTTATTGAATTTATATTGACTTGTAATTTTATTTTACATTCTATATTGTCTTTTATTATTTTCTTGTCATTTGAATGATCTTTTAGCGCTAATTATGTGTTATTGGGCTATATAAGTCAACTTTGATTTGATTTGACTTCAAAAACAGGTGAATCTGTCATCTGCCACAAAATGACTAAGAACTGTAACTTGTAGTATCAGAAAGTCATGTAGTTATGGATAACACCATAATAGAATATTAAAAGAGAACCTCTTGGAGGGGGGGGGGGTGGGGGTGTAGATAGCCTTTCTTTGCCTTGATTACACAATGATATTTGTGTAGTAATAATATTGTTTCCTTTGGCAGGAGTTCTACACAGACAACCCAAAGACATGTCCCGACTACGGACGCATCATCAACCAGCGCCACTTCAAGAGGATCATGAACATGTTGGAAGGCAGCACTGTCGCTGCAGGAGGAGACAACGAGGAGTCTGACTGCTACATAGGTAATCCTTCTAACTGCAACCGCTCTTCACATGAAAATAAATCGCAAATCAAGCCGGCATTGGATGAATATTGTTTCTGCGCTGTGTTTAGCCCCCACAGTTCTGCGGGACGTGAAGCCAGAGGCGAAGGTGATGCAGGAGGAGATTTTCGGACCTCTGCTTCCCATATTGTCGGTCAGTGGCTTGGATGAAGCAATCAAGTTCATCAACAAGGGAGAGAAACCGCTGGCCCTCTACTGCTTCTCATCAGATAACAAGGTATCTAACATTAATCATTGCACACATGCAGATGCCCAGCAGAGTACTTCACAGAACCTACAGGTAGATTCAGACTCACACGTGTAACATCTTTTTTCTAAAGGTGATAAACAGAATGACAGACGAGACATCCAGCGGAGGATTTCTGGCCAACGACTGTCTCGTACACTTTTCTGTAGGCTCTCTGCCTTTTGGAGGAGTCGGTGAGTACACATAGGAATGCAGAAATAGTACCAAAACAAGCATTTTTTATTAAAACCCAGCTTCTGCAGCGATGCAAATAATTGCACATTTTGTAAATATGCTTATTGCTTAAAGTGAGGGAACCTTATTTGGACAAATATGCCTTTTGAACATAGATAGATGTACATTGAGTCAACTGTGTTGTTTCATGCTTTCTTGCATTTCCTCACGATAATGTATTATAGCTCTGAGTGTGTATTTGATGGTGGCAAAGTCTGTTTTCGAGGGATTAATTGATACTTTCAAGGTTGCTGTGTGTTTTTTGTCTCACTGTTTGATATCATTTATAAGGGAGTCCATTTTCGATATTATATATAGAGGTGAATTTGTGATTGCGTCCTTGTTTCTTTTCATGAGTGTATCCTCATGCAGATTGATGTTTGTGAGTGTGCTGTTTGGCTTCTGTCACCAGGTGGCGCCTTTGAGTAAGTCTGCACATTTTGATGCAGAAGTATTACAAGATGAGTTCTGTTCAGTGTTTATCATCATTATTCATTGTAGTTTGTTGAACAGAAGAAACATGTGGTAGAGACCTAAAGAGAACACAAATGCTCCTTTGTTTTTATCTAAAAGAGGAGAAATTAGATCACTGCAAGTTAAACAATCTACCATCGCTCTAGTTTTCACTAGTTTGGGAATTATCATACCAAAGGCCTATTGCTTATTTTGTACCTTTCTAATCGTCATGCATTTGAGTGATGTATTGGAAACCCAAATAGAAATATGCAGTTACCGGTCATCACCCATTCTACGATTGTAGATGATACAATTACTATTTTCTGCTACCCACAAATATGACTTGATTCTTATTTTTTACTTTCTTTTGACAAGCACAAAAGACCACTTGATCAATGTTGAAGCAAAGTTATTTCTCCAGTGTGCCATAACCACTTCATATAATATTTCTAACAATCTTCCAAGATAAAAACTATATTTATGTTTAAAGGTAGGGTAGGTAAGTTTGAGAAACTGGCTCGAGATACACTTTTTGTTATATTCCATGGAATGCTCTTAACATCCCGATAGCAATGAATATCTTAAGTGCTTTGACAAAAAATCCATAAAAAAATGTCATCTGTGGAAGCCGTAATACTGTAAAAAGCACGACCAATCATTTTAGCCGGCCCGGCTAAAATAACTGGATGGCCTACCTGCCTGTCAGCCTGTGCACAAACTTATCTCGTGCCCTCATTGGTCATGTGCGCGTTCGTGTGTGTTGGAGGAGGGGCTCTGTAAGGAAGTAGCAGATTTCTTCCGGCTGTGTATTTTCAAATTCTAGCGCACTCGGGCTGGTTTCTCCAAAATTACCTACCCCACCTTTAAGGTGGAAAGGTTAGGGAAGCTGCTCGATGTTTGGAGCAAAGTCTTTTCCTTGTGTCTTTATTAACTTCTTATCTGTTCTTAGGATTTATTATATTATGTGGCTCTTGAAGCAGTCATATTTTTGCAGCTTACACTCAAAATAATAACATTCTCCCTCTGTTTTCATGTGTTCAGGAAACAGCGGTATGGGCTGCTACCACGGGAAGTACAGCTTCGACCAGCTGAGCCACCTGCGCAGCTGTCTTATCAAAAAGCTGAACATGGAGGGTGTGAACAGAATGCGCTACCCCCCTCACACATCCAAGAAACTGGGCTGGGCCCGCTTCTTCATCCTGAACAGCGTGGACCTGGGCTGGGTTGGACGGATGGCGCTCCTGGCCGTGATGGCTGTGGTGGCTGCTGTCGTGCTGCAGGTGAGTCACACAGGAAGAGAGAAACAATGATGTGCTGCACAGACAAAAACGTTTTTTAATTGTGTGTCATGCGGAAGCAAAAGTGGAGGAAGAAACATTGACCACATTGATAGATAACCATATTCAAGCATTAACTGTAAGTGTTAAACAGTTAAAAAGAACTGGGAAATTATGTTTATCATGTACTTACTATATTCTGTTTCTGTCGCTTATACCAAGACCTTGAAGTTTAATTTATAAATCAATAAAACATGGACTTCACAGCCCTCCAAACACTGATGTCACTGATTACATAACGTAGGATATAGTTGTGTTTTTAAATAAACAAAAAACAAAAACGTGTTACAGCAGTCAATTAATGCAGAATTATTTGTGTTCCCGTGTTGTATGTGTTGAATGGATATATGCATGAAAAGATATTTTAAGGTGGAATGCAGTTATTACCTTTTTATACAATTACACAACTTCTGTACATTTTTCACAAGTGTTTTGATTTTTAACTAAACTTGAAATGCCCTGTATAGTTGGAAAACATCTCAACTTGACTTTGCAAGACTTGGCAATTGATTTGCAAGCAGTGTTAATACATGTATTATAAAGAATGTTCTTCCTTTTCCTACAGTATTATCTCCTTTGAAGACCTCCCACTCCTTTCCAGACAACAAGTGTGCCTTTTAAAGAGAAGAGCAACGTGCATTTCAAACCATTTCATCAAGGAGACTGAACCAATCAGATCAGCGTCTCACAGGACTGCTGTCTCAGGTTCAGGGTGTTGTGTTATCCAGTGTCACCTAGCTCACTGCAGCAAGCAGCTTATTTTAATGAAGGTAATTATTTATTCCCATGAATGCACACTTAAGTACTTTAAAAAAATCATTTCAACTTTTGAATGTACAATATAATGCTGTGATTCAACTAATTAATGCTTTTAAATGTAAAATAGAAATGCTGTGATTTGGCTAATGAATGCTTTTAAATGTGAATAATTACAGTTATACACACAGGCAGAATCAGAATAAAGAATGTTTTACTTAAGGGCCGAGAAAATGAAGTAAGTTGATATTGCTGAATAATGAAGCTGTTTTTAACATGTAGGAGTTACCTACAGTTCACATTGTGTCCTCTCCATTTCAATGATAGATGATCCATTAACTAAACATTCAGCCTGAAGGTACTTCTGTCCAGTGAAGGTTTGTTTTCCTCACAGTGACAGCAGAGATGCAGAACATTTGTCCAGACTTCCTGTAGTTGACAAACACCTGAAATAATCTAACACAATTATATGAAGGATGTCTTTATGTCTTTTTTCTAAGAACACCATATGCCTGTAACAAATTTAAATGTGTAAATTGTTTGTTAAATTTTAAACAACTTGATGTTCTGAATGTTTCTGTTTTGTTTTAGCACATAAGTCAAATGTTAAGGGATTTTTGAAATACTTAATTGAATAATTGCATGTATCTTTATATTGGATAAATAATCAAATAAATATATTTCTACATGTAACCGTTTGTGACATGACTTTAATTTTCATAATGTATCATTATATTATTGTACATTCAAAGCCAGTTGAGCTAGCATGCACAATATTAGCCTACTAATCAGAAGAAAAAGGCCTTTATCACATCAGGAAAGTAAGGGTTGATTTGTAGGAAACCAGGTGTTGCTGAATAAACTAACGTTGACTTAGTTTAAGCATGCACTATACCGAGATACTAAATATCCCTCCCAACCAATCCAAAGCAAAGAGCAGGTCAGAGTAATCAGTAATTAGTCTCTCTGCGCAACACAATCACATTTTTCTTTGAACCAGATTTGCCTTAAGTGACAACTCAAGAGACTTAATGGTACCTCTCTGGAACCAGAAAATACTTTATATAACTTTTTATACATATGTCTTGTAGACTTGTCGACAAAATGTTCGGAAGGTCTCATCTTACATTTCAGTTTAACAAGCAAGAAGCTATCTGGAAATAACACCATAGTATCTGCTTTGGCCACAGAGGGGCCTCTCTTTCCTCGTTCTCACACCTGACAACTTTCTCAGAGAGACATTTTTTCCCTCTCTTTCCACACACACCTTTTTTCATTAAATCTCCCTCCCTCCCTCAAGTGCAGCTCATTGTCAGTATGTGAAAGCAGTTGAAATTAGTCTGTCAAGATCTTCTCAGGTCTCTGCTGATCATGGATTTTTCAGTCTACCTCCCGACTCTGCTTTCTCTCTTCTCTCAGTGCACAGGTAGGATACAAACACACACACATACATATACACACACATACACTTAGAATGCTCTGACATGAAAATCAGCAAAATAACTAACGTAATCAAAGCAGTGATTTTCAGTCACAGGTAAGAGATAATTCTAAAAAGCAGGAAAAAAAAATTCTGATGCGAAGAAATTCATATTTTTAACTGATTTCCTTCAAATATTAGTTTGTTCCATGTCAACCAGTGGTTCATTGTATCTCTTTATGACAGTTCAAATACAAAAAGGAAAAATACATATGTTTTGCTTGAACTGGCCACAAATGAGAGACATTCAACAAGTGATGAGAGATTATTGTCGTGAACAATATACTTGATTTGTTTCTCAATTCATCAAATAACCCTCCATCTATAAAGATCAGAATGTCTTGTTTTGTCCAAGCAGTCAAAAACATTAAATTGAAAACAGCATAAGCGAAGAAAAAAATCCACTTTTAAGATGTTTTATGAAAGCATGGATTTGTTTTAAAAGTGAGACAATGTATTTTTTTCGATAGCAGTTAGTAAAATGAGCCAACATTAGCCACCACAAGTTTCTATTTCTTAGGAGTTCAACTCTTCATTTGTAAGATGATGATTGTGTTATTTATTCTTTTAAAACCTAGATTGTGTTACTTAAAAGGCTTAACAAATTGTAAGAAACGATTTATTTATTGTATGTGTTTATCTAGAATGCAGTTTTATTAGAGAAAATATTAAGTGAGGACTCGGGTCACATGACTTGGTCTTAAGACAGACTGAAAACACAATTTAGATTATTTGAGAAAATTAAAAAACAACTTGCACTTTGACTTAGACCTTAACACAACTGAGTCTTTTCTAGTATATATATATATATGTATTTATATATATATATAGTATATCGGTTTCAAACATTCAGTTTAAAAGACCTAGTTATGACTTGTTTTGGACGTAAAATAAGTCAACTATAAGGACTTGAAACTAAAGTGCAAAGACTTAGTTACTTGTGACTTGTAAAACAAAGACCTCTGAAAAATATGATGTATGAGGAAAAGAAAAGGAAAGAAATTAAGCTGGTGATATAAAAGGGTTTGACTTTTCTCCATTTGGCACTGGTGTATTTCGAGCCAGGCGGAGCAAAGCCAGCCTCCACCTGTGCATTGTTCTCAGTTGGTGAGAACTGTTGTCCCCTTTCACAGAATTGCATTGTGGGAAGCAGCGGGGTTAATCTGTGTTCCTATATTAGCTAAATGGTTCTCTATAGCGCCTTTCATTCCCACCGCAGAGTCAAACACTGGAGTTACATTCACATCAGCAACACAATACACAACCACAGCACAACACTGAGACTGCACCTGGTGGATGGACATGCTTAATGCTTCACAAATGAACACCACTTGTGATTTTTGAAGCGTAAATGCCTTGGCATTCAGGCCTGCAGTATCTGTTTTAATTTGAATCAGTAAATCAGCTTATTTCTTACAGCGGGGAATAAAGACACATTACAAGGCAGTCATTTATTTAGTTATAATTTATCAACAATGTATATCCATTTTTTCCTTATGCCAACTTCAGCAATGAAAATGTCAAATTAAATGTAGTTCTTTTTTTATGTTTTTCACTTCAGGCATGTACTGCAGCTGGCCTTTCTATGTGCACACTGTTGTAAATGAGAATCTCACATAGAGGTCACTCAGAGGTCATGTCCTGTGATTACAGTTAATACCGAGATTAGATTTGTCACATAAAGCATTTCTAGTTTTTAGAAACCTATTTGTTTATTGGCAAATGAGAAAACAACATTGATGTTTGTACAGCATATTCTAAAACTGGTTATCATCTGTTTTTAATAGTGCAACTAAATAATTGAGAGAAATATAAACTTTCATATAATTCAAACTATTCAACACAAAATTGGTTGCTTTTTTGTTTGTGTTTAGCGCATTGTCGCAACAGTAAATCATTAAATTAAAGCAGTCATTGTGGTTTCTTTCAAACACAATATGCCCTAGTCCTAGTTGTTATTTTCAGTATTTATGTAACCTCTGGTTAAAGTGCATTGACCGTCAGCTGGTGACTGAGTGTGACCTGTGATGGATTTACATCATCAATTTCAGTGCTGATGATATGTTTTGTTTTGTCAATATAACTGCTATCAGAGAACTGATGAGCACACAAAAAAGCCTCTGTAGGACATGATTAGTAATGTGAGAATTAAAACAGATCTTTTGTGTGTGTGTCTGAGAAAGTGTTTACCTGATCTGACTTCTCAAAGCTCACAGAGCACAAACACATTAGTAGATCAGCCGGTGAGATCGCTGACTGAGAACAAAAACAATGTGGCTAATGGGCCGTGGAAATGAGAAGAATAATGCCTCATGTATTAACCAGAGAAAGCCATATTGTTTGGCACAAGAGAGAAGTGACTAGCCTTTACTATACAGTTAGTCTGTGTCTGAACTCAATGCTGTGCTTTCTCTGCAGCTCAGTGGTGTTACCAGAGCCAGTACTCCTGTGACGACACATGCAGAGGTAAGAAATGAAAAGACTATCACATGTTTCAAGAGAAAACCCCCAAATGGTCAAAAAAACACTACATATCCGTCACATTCTTGTACAAAACTGATCCAAACCTATTTTTGTATGAATTTGAATGTTTTAATAGTTTTAGTACTCAATAACAATGAATCACTTGGATGTGAAAGGGGTCGCTCGTAGTCATGAATCAACAGAGAATAATCACCCAACTCTGCAGTTTATGCAGATTTAGCTTATATTCATAGTTTTATTTTCGACCACAGAAAGCAGATGTTTTAAAAGAAAAGGCTCTTAGGAGAACAGACTGCAAATGATAGTTCTGGATGTGTAAAGGCAACTGTTAGCTCAAACATTTGCCCCATTATTTAAATGATGTGATTACATTATTTTTGCATACAGTTCCATAAAGTTGCCCAATATACAAGACAACATTCTTTAAAACACACACCTCAGGCCTTGTGACAAACACAAATCCAAAGCAGAGATAAACCAGACGAAACCTTCACTCCTGCTTTTAGCAAATTCTAAAAAGAATTGAACATTTGGTTACCTAAGCAGACTTTGTGTTCATTCTCAGTGGGGTTAACAGTACAAGAAATCAAATAAAACCTGGAGGGGAAATTATATTGTGCATTATGGGGGTTTTAAAGTACTTTATACATTTTGGGGGGAATATCAGGCACTGAAGCCCAAACGTGATGTTGTTCATGTTTTCAGATCCTATTCGATGGGCAGCTCAGTTTCCCAGCTGTGGAGGACTTCGCCAATCCCCAATCAACATCGTCTCAACTAAAGTGCACGTCAACAGCGCCCTGCCGCCCTTCAACTTCATCGGTCACACCAACATTATCAACATCACAGTGGAAAACAAAGGACACTCTGGTGATTAGGAGCCTGCTTTCTTGGTGTCTTTCCCTCCAGACTATTATTTACCAGTTGTTAACACCTCTCACAATTTAATTTTAACAAATGTATTCTCTTGGCTGTAGCTCACTTTGCTCTGCCGCAGTCGGTCCGTCTGACTGGAGGAGCTCTGCCCGGTCATTACCGAGCCGCCCAGTTTCACTTCCACTGGGGAGGCAATGGGAGACCCGGATCAGAGCACACCATTGATGGAGAGCAGTTCCCCATGGAGGTACGTCACACAGGAGCCAATGAAAAATGTTAAGCTATTTAAATATTAAAGTGACAGGGGTCTAATAGGTCCAACAGCTTCATTCCTTACTGACCATTGAGGGTCAATGTTTTACAAACATGCCGGAAATGCAACCATTAATTAAGTCTTCAATGTTGGTAGGAATAATAGACTTAGAAGAACCTGAAAAGCATAGTCAAAGTGTTTAGGATTTACATGAGCTGTGCATATTTACAGTATCAGTCAATGAGTAGAGAAAAATGCAACTACCCTTTATTAATACTTTCCCCCACAAAAATATACTGATATTTTAACAAATGTGTGTTTAACACAGTGCACAGTATAAAATGCTCTCCACTACTGTAACTCATTTAGCTGTGTTTTGGGTTTCAGCTGCACATCGTCCACATCAAGGAACCGTACGGCTCTCTGGCAGAGGCCGAACATGACATGGCAGGTATAGCCCTGCTTGCCTTCCTGT